TGTCAGGGAGGGAGGAAGTAAGAAGCAGACGGGGGGAGGATGGGTAGGGGCGGGTAGAAGTGTACCTGTTTCTTTTGAAAAGGACGCCGGGCGGGGGGGGGGGGGGGGGGGGGGTTGTACGCAGGTCGTGGTCCGGCGGCCAACGGGGGCGTCCGCGCTGGGGTTGCGGGCGCGCGGAATTCCGGTCATCGTGGCGAGAACGAGGGGAACGGGGTGGGGGTCCTGCGGGATCACTCATTGCATGAATGTGTTGACACTCCAGGGGGGGGGGGGGTACACGAAGAGATATTCCACGGTATGGGTAGACTTGACGAGTCGCCCCAAGCAATCTTTCTTGAAGTTTCGACGCTGCTCCTTGGTAATTGGTTTGTCACATCCCGGTCCATGTTGCGAGGAAAGCCCAATAACGTACGGACTACTAGCTTCCTGTACGGACTACCTCTGCCCACTGACGTACGGAATACTACCGTTGTGCCAGGTCCGGGCACGAGTGCTACTCTCTGAGCATGGGTATCACTTTGGGGGAGAGCGGGGAGATCACCGACGTTATCGTTACTCCAGCGCTCGTTAAGGTGGGTCATCAGAACGAAATTAGTGTTTTAAGTGGGTCCTGCCGCTTTGAGGTACATCGTGTATGTTCTGGCACTGCTGGGTTGCGTACCTTGTTTTGTGCCTAGGCTGTAAGAGTTTTCTTGTTTAGTCTTTGCAGGCGCTGATCGACAGATACAGAGACACAGAGAACGCGCCGCATGCATGTGACAACATGTGTATGAATACCAAGACGGTACACAAGTGATGCCGTCACCTCCGAGAACGTGGTGAGCTGCAGATAGCTCCCACGGCTTCTCGTTCAAACGTGGGACAAAGCTGGCGTATTCGGGCCTTTCTTGGCGTTCTGTGGGTAGAGATAACCCTAATCCAGTTGATTCGGCGTTGCTATCGCTTTTCCATTTTCCTTCTTCAGGAGACAACCAGTACAATAGTATACGGTCTCGTCTGTGGCATGGGTGTTTGGCACCAGGCAGTTTTGCGAAAACGCCACCTTTCAGAGCATGTTCACCACAGCGCGATACGAAGGCAACCTCGAATAGTGCATGCCATATCGAGTAGACGCCAGGGGGGGCGAGAGAGTGAACATCGGCGTTTGTCGCTATTGTTCCCTCTCTTGCTGTAGGTCACGTACCGACTCACGTACGACGACGTCGAAGACATGCTGGTCAACGGGATAGCCGGCAGCGCTGACGAGTGGGAGCTGGGCCGCCTGGACGAGCTCGCGCAGCTGAGATACAGGTACGTAAGTAGTCCATCTAAAGCGGCGGTAACACTCGAACGCGCGTAGCAGCAGCAGCAGCAGCAGCAGCAGCAACAGCAACAGCGGCAGCAGCAACAGCGGCAGCAGCAATTGGATGGCAAATGCTGTGTTTCGTTGCCAGTAGTACCACATGATGCTAGCTCTTCTCTTTCGCTCTCGTTTCTCGTAGCGGTACGTGAAATGCGGAGGGTGGCACGTAGCCGGGGTATGTATGCTACTGTCTACAGCTCTCTATTCGTTTTTTGGTCGTCGCGTCAGCCGCATACATCTTGCATCGCAGTAAGCACCTTGTCCGACATCCCGCGCCCTACCCTAGGGGCAACAACAAAGGGGGGTTAGCGTAGTCAGACACGAAGTAGGCGTTGGGTACGGTGTGGACGGCCGTGGCTGCGAGCCTACCAATGTGTACGCCACTACGAGCGGTGGCGGAATGCGGCATGAGCCCGGTATGGCAAGCTTGGACTATTTTTCTCTCCGCTGGCTGAACAATGCGAGCCGTACCACGAGGTCGTTGGTTGTACAATGGGTGTTGCAGAAGACGGTAAGCGTGTTGGCATCATCATCATCATCATCATCATCATCAGCTGCAGCAGCTGCAGCAGCTGCAGCAGCTTCAGCAGCAGCAGTTGCAGCAGGCGCAGCAGCGAGACGAATGTTGAAAGCTGTCATCCTCCCACGGAACGGAATACCATGATGTTTTTGTGTCCCTGATTTGTGTTTACGGGCTTCAGCCAAAGCTTTCAAGGGCAAGCTTTGCGAATTGCACCTCCGTTAGATTGGCGCTGTGCGGCGTCCTGCGGTTGCATTCCAACGTCGCCGCCCGCGCCCGCGCCCGTCGCGTACATATGTGCTCTCATTCATCGCTCTGCTCGTCGTTCGCGCACTCGTTCGCCACACGGCCACAACACACCACCGTACAACACGGCGCCAGGTACCGGTGCGAGCAGGGGTCTGTCGACCGGTTCCAGAAGGGGCTGGACCACAACGTAAAGGCGAGTGTGGTGTTGCACGCTCTTGCTGCTTTCTTTTTCTTCTTTGTGCCTTTCCTCCCGTGAGCGCCCGTCTAGAGCCCGTCTACACCGGTGTTCCTTGACCACCTCCTTCATCTGCTTCATCTCCGTTCTCTTTTCGTTTCCCTCAAGCCGACGGCCACTTGCTGACGTGGTTGGTATCGCGGTACCGCTGCCCGCGGAGCCGAGAGGCGCTATTCTCTCAAACGCCGACATTTCAGTCGATTCCCGGAGGCTGCTTGATGGGTTCTTTCTGCCCCGCGAAATAGTCGTTCTCCCTCCACCTTCCGCTACCTTTTGATGCTCGTGTGTGTTTTGACGAATCCACCCACTTTTCATGTGCTGAAGTTGGCAATGTGTGCCTTCCTAGTTGTTCTCCTTGTTCTGGTATCCTTGTTCTCGCCGCTGCTGTTGCTGCCGCCGCCACCGCCGCCGCCACCGCTGTCGGTGTGTCCCGCTTGTCTTGTAACTGGTAGGATCGTGAAAACATGCTATCTATCAACGGCGCCTGCTACGACGTGGGCAATACGTTTCCGTGATCACGTTTGTCCTGACGCTCCACGCACATTCTTCGCGGACGACCGACGGACGGTTTTCGGGCGATCGCAAACCCGTGTTCTCATCTGCTCCTCAACTTCTGGCACTAACCACTGAGCGAACAGCCGGGCGGGTGACTAACCGGCGATCCCTTTTAATTTTCAGAAACACGTACAAGCGGGGTATCATCTCCTCCTCTGCCTGCCCCTCCGCATCAAACCTGCCTGACAATTTTGGTTCGATGGCGTTGATTTTTGGCAGGCGGTCGAGGATCCCTCTGTTCCCGGGGGCTACGCGGTGAAGGTAATACCGGAGGACCCCTCCTGCAGGTCCATCCGGCTGGTGACCGAGATGATGGTGCTTGTTGGAGAGGGGATGGGCAGGTCAGTGCTTGTACGGGAAATGCCAAGAGCAGCAGTACCAGTAGAAGAAAATCGAGTTTTCGTTCCTAATAGACGACGCACAGCCGGTGTACAGACGCGCCGTTCGAAGCCTTTGAAGTGCGCAGGTCAGTGTTGGTACAAGTCTGTGAAGACAATCTCAAGTACGACAAGCATGTAAATATGTAAATGCTCCTACAATAGATTCGTACGCGGGCGGTATACGGCGCCGTTCAAGCCAGCATTCGGCGTCTTGCAAAGTCTTGGGGAACGATGCTACGTTTGTTTTTCCTTTCGAAAGTGATGCGTGCACGTTCGTCCAACGGAGGGAGGCTGTGGCCTGGTTATGCAGGCGTGCGAATGTGATGAGGCGTGTGGTGGTTGGTGTGCACTCTCCGGGCACGGTTTCCGCCCGCTGGTACGGATAGGCTAGCTACATGAGTAACGCTGAATGGCTGAGCATAAGTCTCTGGTGATGAACCAAGTGTGTGTGTTCGTCTCGCCCAGAGATCGAGCAGGTTAGCGCGTGAAAGGGCGTCGCTGGGTTTGCGGTATGTATGTCAGGTGGAGGAAAAGGGTCTGTGAAAGAGGTTGCTATAATATCGATTTGTGTTTGCACCGGGGCACGGGAGGCTTGCTTGAAGATTAGGTGCTTCGCCCTCGCCGCGGGTTACGTAATGGAGAGTGGGTGTAATGCCGTCCTCGTTTCTCCACCGAACGGAGACCACTCGCACCCCGGCTGTGTGTCGCCCTCCTTCTCGTCCGCATGTTTACCCCGCTTCACTCGCGATGGTTCTGTGTCTTCAACTAATATTTTTTCCAATTTTGACATTGGCCCCCCGCTTCGTTTGTTTTGCTCCCCCAAACGGAAAATGATGCATGCAGTGTTGGAGGCGAAGAGGGAATCCCTCTGCCGTTCAGGCACCAGAAGGCTCCCGACAGCTTTCCTGAAACCGACTTGGAGTTGCTGCCGGAGAAATACTGCAGGGCACAGGCGAGCCGTGGTGCTGTGTCGCTAATTGTCGTTGTCGTCATCTTCCATCGTTGTTGCCCCAGATATCCTCGTGCGGCGTCGGGAGATAGAGATAGGTTACCTTTGGTATATTTTTGACGCAGCAGCTCAAATACCTCAGCAGGGATACATGAGGTCTGAACGATGGTAGTATCACGTAAGAGGCGGAGAGATGGCACCTCCCGTAGACTGAATTTCAAGGCTTGATGGCCCCACAACACGGTGGGTGCCGAAAGACCCCATACGTCTAAGGAGTTTGTCGACGAGATTTTTTCCAAGGTCTTTGGTGTTGGCACAAGCTTGGTCGTGGAAGATTTCAGCTTGGAAAATCGGCCTATTGATAGGTGGGTGCCATCTCTCCTCCTAATGCGGTACTTGCTTCAGATCCCTATCCTTCTGCCTACATCGGTCGACGCGCTCTGGTCGGACCATGCCTCCCGAAATTCGCCATGTTTTCGCCGGAAAACTCGGACTATCTGACTCTGGCCAGCATCCGCACAACATCCATGCCGATGGCCAAGATCAGAGAAACAGATTATCCGTGGTCCTTGTAGCGTATGGTATGTGTTTGGGTTAACAATCCCGGCGAAGAGGTTTCGTTCCCAGCATCTAGGAGAACGCGCCTGTTGCCGAGGAGAGGGAAGGAACTGGTGAACCCTTTCCGCGACAAAAATAAAGCAAGGGCTTCCACCGCGGTTGAATTTACAACCCCCCCACTCCCCCCACCCCGAAATATTTTTTGTCTTCTTATCTTGTTGTTTAGGGCGCGTACAAGTACATGAGCTCTGCGACAACGGCCACCACCCCGCAGCCACACTGGGGACTCGGCCTGGATTCCTACGTGCAGTGGTCGTCTCCGATCCGAAGGTATCCCTCGAACGATGCGATACTTCGTCGGTTTGTTGACCGAATGGAGCCGTTACCCTCTCAAACTTGCAACACGCAGTTATAGTCAGCGCCAGGCCTGCTGTGATGTGGCGCAATGGTGCGAGCATCGTCAAGGCCGGTTTGGCTTTCTCACCTGCAGGTTATCTAACAACAGGCCGACGAAGGCGGGCACGAGGTTTGTCGTGCCCCGTTCGAGCACGTCCCCGTGGGTCTTCTCTGCAAGGTCGCAGGCCTCGTGTTTCTCTCCCCCCCCCCCCCGCTCCCCCCGGCTGTCGGCCCGGTCCGTCTTCTCGAATCCCGTGGTCAGCTAATATGCGTTCCGACATGTCCTGCAGAACATCATATCGTTACAATGGAACACAAACAAGAAACAGAACGGTGCACGGAAGAAAAAACGAAGCTGCGCAACGCCCCGGGTACGTTTCATCACTGTGGCGTCTGCGTAGACGACGGAGATTGGCGCTGTCTTCGTCGTTACGGACGCGTGTGGCCCGGGCCCGGGCGAACTTCGTCGAATTCTTGTCAGAATCGAGTCGGGGCGAAGCGTAATGCAAGAGCTGGTGCAGTGGAACTGTTCGGAACGATGCGCGGTGGTGATGGCAGATGATCCAGAGGGCTCCAGCGTAATTCTCGGGCTCGTTCCAGATACACCATGTGTGCGACTCCTTACCGAGAAAGGATGCTCAACTTTCCCCCGTACCAGCGAGCGCGTGATAAGTGTGTTTGGGGCGTCAGGAGAGTTTCATAGAAAGAAGGTGGTTTTGACAATCACAGGGATGATGAGGATGCTGGGTTTTGATGTCCTCCCCGACCCGATGATGACGGTGATTTTGGACAACCTTAACGGTGATGCAACCACGCCGTCATACCCTTCGTTCATCCCGCTCGTTGTGGAGACTGGCGGTCATGCGTGCGTGTCTCCAATGTATCCGTAGCCCGTCTGTCATTCTTCTCTCTCTTTCCCGGCGTGTTTCTGCGTCCGTACACCGTACTTGACATCTCACTTCATCCTATGTTCGCACATGTCGTTTCCTTCCCCATTTCCCCCCCTCGCCTTTTTTTCTCTTGCTTTCTGTTTTGTCGCTGGGGCTCTCCTGGGTCGCGGCCCAATCCCCAAACGCTTCAGATACTTGGACCTACTCGCACACTACCAGGTGAAGCGGTGGCTCCTTGGGCAACCTACCCTCGACGGGTCGTTGGTGATGGCCCAAGTCGAGGCCGGCGATGGAGCCGTGCAAACCGCTAACATGGTAAGACGTGGTGCGCGGGTCGGCGGGAGGGGGATACTGGTAGGGGTTTAAGAGAGGGGCGTCACACGCCGAAGCTAAAGTCTAAGAAGTCCGGTGGCCTCGGCCGTTTGTGTGCAATTCTCCGGAGTTTTTTTATTCTCTCAAAGTCCGTACTTTCTCTTTCATACCCCATCTTGTGGTAATCCTGTTTGAGACGGAGCACCGTCCATACGCTTAGTAGAGGCAGCCACTAATTTCAAGTTATTGGAGGAGTGTAAGGGGGACTCATGTACACATTGCCTTTCTGGTCATGACTTTATAGGCCATCGATAATGTATCTTGGTTGGCAACGACTTCTTGTCGTTCCCTTGCTCACTAGACCTGTCGAGGAACGAACAAAAATAGAGGACAGAGATGCGACGAGTGCACGGCAACGGCTGCAAGGGGGGGGCGGGCTAGAAGTGGCATGGGGGAAGGGTCTTGCTTGCCCCCTTGATAGTGACGAAATCCGGTTCATGCTTGGCGACAAGCGCTTTCTCCCACCACAATCGTGTACTGTTGACGCCCCATGTGTGTTCGCCCTCTCGGTGCCCCGCCCCCCTCCTGCGCCCGCGTTGTTTTGGGCTCCGACTCCGATGCCTGATTCATTGCGTGCATCGTTCTCGCGCGCTTTTCATGGTAAAAGGTGATGCGCAAGACCAACAAGTACTGGGTTACGGAGTACCTTTCGAAGCTGGTGGGAAGGTAAGGCTAATCCCACGCCAAACGTGTTACAGATGGGTTGTACGGCACAGCAGTCCTCCCTAATTATCAAACGAGGGCGATTGATTACGCAGGTGGACGGTAGGGGGTCTCGCGGAGAGAAATCTCTCACTTGTGTGGCCTCGCGCGGGAGCTTCGCTCATTGGAGAAGACAACACACTCTGGGGCAGTTTAGTGGCTACAATAGCTGTTGTTTACAGGCATGGACGAGGAAGAAATACCCACACAACTCTTCAAGGAGTGCAGCGTTTTTCTCACTCCATCTACGGCAGTCTGCGAATCACCAAAACCTGTTCTACGTAGCTGGCGAGGTTTGTCGTTGCCGGCGTCGTTCGTTTCTGCCGATGAGCGTCGGGATCAAACACGATGGGGAATTGTTATTTGAGTATCAGAGGTTCAAAGAGGTAGCATGGACTGGCAGAATATAACCACGAAACGTAGTCAAGCCGTCTCGCACGTTTTTTAGCTGCTGCTTGGGCGATAGAAGTACAACCTATGCTACGCGGTGGTCTTCACTTCACTTTTGTGTGCTCGACTGCCGTGCAGTTCTTTGCCCTTTCCTTGGCCGCGCTTGCCAATCATTACCCCGTGTGCGTGCGCGCGCGTCGTTCTTCTGGCAGTGACATGGAGGCCTATGTGGTATCCTACCGGGATGCACGAGACAAGGGGGGCAAGGTTATGTACAATCTCCTTCTCCTTGGCCTTGGCATCACGCTTCCTTACATGGAAGCTGGGCTGAGCATGGAGCTCGGAGAGCTGGTGGTTGTACGGGTGAGCTGTATCTTGTTTCTCTGTCAGCAAGTAATCGGTTTGATGATGCGTCGGTCGTTTGGCCTCCTCATGCAGAGATGGAAGTGGTGAGCTATACGTAGGACATCCGCTGAGCCCCCCCCACCCCCACCCCAGGCGAGATATGATATCACGAAAAGGCTGGCATCTTTGTCTGGCGGGTTGCCCGGGGCTGTTGGCGCGGGCACGGGTGAAATAATGCCGGTTGGTGGGTGTGGCATGGGTATGGTGACCCCACTTCTGCTCACAATGTTTTGTTGTGTGGCCATCCCTTCAAAGAAGAGTAAATCATCTCTTGCCTATGCCCGTGCCTGCAATCATCTATCTCGTCGTGAAGACCGTTCATATTTGACCATCTCCAATCAAATCAATGTCTTGTGCATGTCGGCCACATGTGTTGAGGGTTGGACCTACTTGCCTCCAAGAGCTAATCGATTTGGACGTTTCATTCGCGGAGTCCGTGCCTAGAACGTGTGACGATTTGGATTGGGTAACGCTGGAACAAGGATTTCTCCGCCTCCCCGCCCACCCCGAAGAAATGAAACAGCGGCTCATGTCTAGGGTCCTGCCGAAGACGACATCGCAAAACAACGACGCCCGTCTGCCCCCCACCCAAATGCAAACAAAAAGGTGGTGGCGTCCTCGGCGCGAAGCCTCTTTACCAAGATCTCTTGGAGACGAATGTCCTCGGCAGAGAGGTCAGCGAGTGACGGCCGGTTAAAGGACGAGGCTGCCCTCGCCGGCCTCCCGGACGGGGGAGGGGTGGCGGGGTCCGTAGCGTCGAAAAATGGCGTCGTGAGCAGCAGTAGCGGTGGAGACAGTACCGGAGACGGAGATAACTCGGGGAGCGGCGGGGAGGCTTCTGCGGGGGGCGGGGGCGTCGCAGCTGTGGGCAGTAGTCCCGACGGGAGATCAAGCGACGCAACGAGATGGCCGTAGCGAATAAATAGAGCGGGGAGAGTTAGTGGGAGTTTTATAGACCGCAAACGGGGATAGTTTTGTCAGTGGAAACGAGGAGGAGGAGGTTCCAGCAGAGTTTGGAACTAGACGCGAATCTATACGCGGAGCAGACGTGCACATTGCGACTGCGTGTGGTAGGGGTATCGACACCCAGTTAAACCAGCGCAACACTCGGGTACAGGCGTGCGAAGGATGAGCGTTTGCGTGAGGGCAGCGGGCAAGGGATGTGCCGGGGATGTGAGTGTGCGACATGCAAGGAGTACTTTTTTGGAACGTGGGACGCAACACATGAGCAGGAAAAGGGAGCACGTCATTGTTTGAGGGCGGTCGGCGGGCTCATTACCCGATCCTTTTCATTCAACGCCTGCCTCCAGTTGGCACCCAACAGCTGCTACAAGCCAGCATGTTGCGGGCCATCCTCACCACGTGCGGGAACAATGGGTTCCATTCGTGAGTAACGTGATGGTTGATGATGGGACAGCGAGCTATGTGTCCAAGGCGGAAAGAAAAAACAAGTTACTGTATGCATAGAGAGCACACGACTAAAAAACCGAGAGCAGCCCACAAATATTCTGAGCCTTTACTCCAGTAAAAAAAACACGCCACTACAGGGTTTCGAGGCCACTCTTTCTTTTCCCGAACCGCCGTCTACTTGGGGGTCCCATCGCCCGCTCGGCCCTCCCCTGTTGCGTCCGAAAGGCAGAGAGATACACGTCATGCAAGGTGGCAAGGTAGAAAGAGTGCAGTCAATATCATAAACTCGTGTGTTGAACCTTTCGACGTGGTGGATGAATGAATGAATGGTTTCTTTTTCATTATACCACACTCTACTACTACTTCTGTGTTGTTTTACTCTTGTATGCAGTGACGGCGTTGTTGTTCGAATAGACTGTACGAGAACTTCATTCACCAAAAAATGGGTCAAAATTCATTCAGCAAAACATGGGTCAAAAAAATCAATTGGGGAAGCAGCCGTGGGTACACGGCAATCTATAGAAAGAGTGCAGTCAACATCATAAACTCGTGTGTTGAATCAAATATATCTATCTCGATGTGTGCAAGGCAATTAAGGAATACGAATAAACGATCCGTGCGTGTGTGAAACAGTTCGTAGCGTTGAACCATCACGCGTCACGAGGAGTAGGCTTGTAGGTATGGGAAGCAGACCTATAACAATAAGATAGACAGAAGGTCTTTGTATCTCTCAGGTCGGGAACTCGCTCACAGCCTCGCGCATGCCTCCAAAGGAAAACGGTATCGATGGAAGATACAGCCTTTCGAAAGGTGCTTTTCCTGTGACCGTAATATTCTCTGTTCGTAGTCGTTGCCGCCACCGCTGCCGAATCCAACGCGAAAAGCATCCCCGAAAGTGTTAACCTTACGCTGGGACCCGAGGGGCGCATATTAAGTGTCCATTCTAATCAAGAAAGATCAACGTGGATACTATGGCGCACAAACCTCATATGCGACGCTGCTATTTCACTTGAAGATATGAGGATCAAGACGAAAGTCTGAGCAGCACACCTACTAAGCGATCTCTGAAGAAATCACGTTCTCCGACTCTTGTGCCGCCTAGAGTTGCACCCTTCCCTCTCAGCAACGTCTCTGGTTTTCGATGCACCGAGACAGCCGCTCCCGCGCCAGCGTTCTTGCACTCGAAACAAACGTGGGACTCATCGCCATCGTCTCAACAGCGCGACTGCCCTCGCCCGAGCCGTTTTCTTCTACCGCAACCGAAGTCTTGTCCCGACCAAAACTATCAACACTACAGAGACCACCACCACTGCCGGCGTCACCACCAGTGCCCGCCTCTCCCCCTTTCCCTGCCGGCGCTGCCTCGCTATCCTGGCGCGGGTTCACGTTGCAGCGCGGCACCCCCGTCACCGCTGATGCCACCACGGGCGGTGTTGGCGTGGTCGAGGATTGTTGGCTCGCAGCAGCCGTGGCCGCCGCTGCCTTCGACGCCAAGCGCTCGGCGAGCAAAATGGTGTACATGCCGCAGTCGAAGGCGTTTCTCTGCTGGGGCGCTTCACGGACGTGCTCCACACGCGAGGGTTTGTCTTCTCCGACGGCTATTCTCGGCAAAGAGGACGAAGACACAATAGCGAAAGGCAGGAAAGGCTACTGTATGGCGGGTGAAATGCGTAACGTTGGCGGAATGCTTCCCTATGCCCTGCGGGTCTTCGCGTTATGTATGTGAGTTCTGCGCTAGGGACACTTACACTTCAGACCACCCTACGGAATGGCCCTGCCTGCCCAAACGAGGCTCGACACTCAGCCAGCCCCTTTCTCGTCGGTTCTGGTTGCGCTTTTATCGTGGTTTCATCCTCACTTTTCTCGCCCAACATCTTCACGAACTTGGCAGCCGTCAGCTCCGCCGGCGTACGATTGCTGCCCTCGGACGAGTCGAAATGTCGAAATCTCCAACGGCTTCTGCGTTCGTCGCCGCCCGCAATCCTCCTATCGCAGACTAGGAGGCTCCTGCGGGCGACAGGGGACGCCAGTATGACAAGGCGAACGACATGCATGTTGGCCAGAAGCATTCAAGTGCACCACAAGGCATGATTTTCAACGCCTGCAAGCCTCCGAACGAAGAGTTATTGCACCGGTCGATTGAGCATTTCGATCGACGGGATGACTATTTTCAGTGAACCTCTTGCTGCCAATTGATAGATATAAAACGTAAATAGATATTCGTAAACTTGAACCGGATTTCGATGGTGGGGGTAACGAGTTAATGAAAGTTCGTGTCAACATTATTTCAATTTACCGGGCATTTTGCTGGGGACGAATAAGTCAACGCAAAATGCCTAAGTGAGCCAACGCACTACCGCAGCTCGAACAAAAAAGCAACCCCCCTTTCGGACAACACCCCCGCACCCTCGTACACCCTTCACTAATCCCAATGCCGGGCCCGGTAAATCATCGTGTGGGTGTGAAGGCGCCTTGTGTAGGCTGCCTAAGGTTGCAACAGGCTGCGTGTGCACAAGGCGTCGAGCTGCGATTTTAGGGTGGGATTCTTCAACGGTGTCGCCCTGTACGTACAGACTAACTACACACAGGGGGGAAAAGGTGTGAGTAGTGAGTGATCACTCGCTGTGTACGTATCTAGCTTGCCCCGAGTTTCAGCAGTGTGGATCACCGGCTTCCAGCCTGCATACACTTGGACGGAGGATGCCCGCCTGTCCCGAACCCTCTCCAACTGGTACGTGTCCCTTCGAGGGTAGTTTTCGGACCGCTCCTACTCAAGGCGCTAGATTGGTCGCCGCAAACATCTGACACAGGTTCTGGCAAATACTGCGCAATCAGAAATATGTGGTTGTTTCGAGGGTTCCCTCTTTCATTCCCACCAGTGACTGCCGCGCGAAAAGGGACCCGCTGCGTTGTTGACAGGCACGAAAACCATGCTCCGGATCGCCAGCTCGAGGCCTCTGCCAAGATCCTCGTATTCCTCTAGATCTGAAAAAGACGTCAGTGCCGTGCACAACCCACACACGCACATCAACAGCCGTCCAAGTTGTTCGCCGATACGTATAGTTTCAACGACGCGCGGAAGGTCGCGTAAAGCAAAACTTTAGCGTCACGCGTGTGCATTCCATCCACATACTGTAGCGATACTTGCACGAGACGGCCGCAGGACAGTCTGGTAGCATGCGGAAACAAACGGTCACGGTACAGGTCCACGACCCCCCTCCTCCTGCGTTGGTTCCTGCCTACAGTTGGTGTGTATCGGAATCGACCCTCTCCGAAATATCGGGAAAAACGAGGAATCTCATGTACATCAGACGACAGCCGGAGGTTTGCAGCCGATGCTTCGTTGAAAGGTTTCCCGAAGAGTAGGGAGGCTCTGCTGCACGTAAGCAAGCGCTGCTGTCAGGCTCCATAGTCCACCTCGAGGTACCCAGTACTCAGAGTGGAGAGGGGTGGGATCCTTTTCTCCTCTGCCCGATTTGCGGATACCGAGGAGGGTGCACCGAAGGTGAAACCATCAACATGTAAGTCATCGGAAAGAGGAGGTCCAGATTTTCTACGCGTGTATCCCATTCAAAAGACCCCTCCCGCTTTTAGCAGGCTCTACTCCCGAGGAACCGATGGGGCGGTACAAAAGAAGGAAAGACTAACTCTCGTCCCCCCCCCCCTACGGATCGCATAAAGCGGTTCTTCACGTCAGCGTCTTGGGGTTTCTCACCGTCGCACTGGTTCATCATGCACGACACCACCGCGGGGTCCATGAAGAGGAGATCCGTCCTCCCCGGGAACACCTCGTGCTCCAACACCCTGTTAGCCAGCGATGTCCACGTTGTCGTTGGACCGACGAAACAAACAGGCACGAATGTAATAGGCAGGAACAGTTGCAGCGGGTAGGTGCCTCGATTTTGGAATTCGAAGGGATTACAGTACAGTAGATGAGGGGAGTGGTTTGCGCCAGCGAAGGAAACTGCTTCCTCGAAGCTAGCTCTGTCGCGCTGGCACACGTGGCCTCTACTCAGGCGGGTCTAGCCGATTGGTCCTCAGTACACAAAATACACAAAATGTCTCTTAAGTCTGTGGCATGCTATCTTACAATCAAAATTCTTTGCTGTTACACTGATCGTCCCGCAACTCAACTCGTTCATAAAGATCAGGGATGGGCCCTGAATGCTGGAGAAGAAGAGAGGGCCCACAACGGGTTCGACATTGCTTCCGTTCGTGCGTATATGCGACAGTAAGAGGCTAGCATGTCCACGTGCACGCACGGTGCACGTGTCACAGAAAACACAACAAGCGAGACAGTATTTCTGTAGAAACGCATGGTTAGAACAAATGGTGGTATGCATAGTTACCTGAAAAACCAATTGATGCAGTTGTCGTTGAGCCACTCGCCGTCGCCGAAGAGTGCCACATCGGTGTCGTACACCACGGCGTCGTGGTAGTTGAGAACTTGCGTCATTGTTTCGCCCTTGTCGCTGGCTCGGGCTGGCCTGCCCACGACAGGAAAGCAGTTTCACCGGCCTTTAAAGGACCGCAGTAACCGACGTCTTGCAGATGTACAGCTCTTTACTCTGTGAGGAGATTGTGACCCACTCTCTTTTGTCGTGCAGACCTCGGGAAAGTCGACTGGGATGAGAGCAGCGAAGACGTGCGAGTTTTGCTCGCCACCTCAACATACCCCCTATGCAGCATTTGTGGTGGTTGATTCGGTCAGCCATGCATAGATGACTGTACTACGCGTAGAGCACAGCGTTGGATGATGCACCTTTCCCCTGGGGGCGCCAATCCTTCTGGATTTTTCAGCAAAAGGGAAATGATGCACCCATGGTTTGTTAACTTTGTCGGGCTTTCTTCGGGACATCTTGCACGTGTTGGATGCCACGTGCGTAGGAGTATCTTTTACGGGATACACTCCTAATTATGCGGAGCAAATACAGCAGGGAAGATGCTGAAGGCGGTGCTATCCATACAACGCCGCAGAAATATCGCTTGACATACTTTGGTTTTCTGGTGGTCTGTTTTCAAGGAAGACCTTGGGCAAGCTCTAGCACATAGGTGCACAGCCGTTCTTCGTATGCATACTATTGTACAGAGCCCGCGCTTCTCCTTGTTCAGAAGTGGCCTCGGGCTAAATTGCAAAAAGCGACTGGCGCGATACATTCTGTGAGCATTGCGCCCCATGCAACACACAAAAATATGTTGCCCTTGGTTGCTCCCGTCGGTTTGTGGTATTAGCATTCGTCATTGCACCACCACAATGGTGGAAGCTATCAGAGGCTATAATACCACCCGCTCCCCTGAGGGTCAATTTCCCCGCTCGATCGTTCCACAACAGCAGTACGATCAACACAGATCTCTGCATTGTGCTGTTTTGTGCGTTGCCGGCGATGCCTGGGTGTTGCATATTCTTTCGAAAGTGTTAACCTCAACCCACAAAGGCAAACCATCTCTGACTACGTGTAACATGAGCGTGAGAGTGTGGCATCCCTCAACTTTGCGCCTGACGCTGCTGCAGTACTGCTGCTGTTGGATGCATGTGTACACCGCTGTGCTGCCGCTTGGTTGTAGCACCCAACGCGCCGTCTCAGGAGAATCTGTGGCAGATGTACGATGAAAACCCCGACATGTCATATTCCCTCTCTCTCATCAAATACCACGACGCCCACCTGTTCGCGTTAAGCCAACCCTCACACTTGCGCCGACACCACACGACCCAACGGGGTATCACCGCCGTTGTGTGGTGTGACCGAGCGAGACATCGGAGGCACGCAGACACATTTCGCTGCAGGGTGGTGTTGATTTTTTGAGTCTCAACCACGAACCCCCTTGTAACGTTTACAACGGTTAGTTTATTGTTAGATTGCCGCGTCGCCGCGTCGCTCTCTAGATTTGATTCTGTTGACACCCATACAGCACGGCTGCCCGGCGTGCGATTGGGCCTTTTCCGTTGGTCGTCTGCGTGGTCATCCCGCCAAATAGTCATGAGCTATTCGGCGCCCTTCCGCACAACAAACCCCACCTACGGTAACCTCTTCTACTAATTAGAAACGGAAGAGGGCGTTTGATATCGCACAGCAGTTGATGCAGTGTAGTCTACATATCTTTGGTGGAGATCACTCCGGTCACGGAGGCCAGAGGCGAGGTGAGGTGTACACGCAACACTTTGCGCACCTACAAGAACGAATCCTTGAACACAGCCCGAATGCAGACTCACGTACTTCGTACACAGCAGAATTTGGTCGTTCTCGTCGATCGTCAGAATGATCGTGACCATCATCACCGGTATGAAGATTCATTCTTCATTCATTCTCACGAGAAGACTCATTCTTCATTCATTTTGACAAAAACAACACAGTGTAGGAACACGCCACGCAATACCAAGAGAACAACTTGGGGAACTGTTCATGATAATACTGTAGTTCCTTTTAGTTTTGCCGTCTTCAAAGACAGGCTACAAACCCACTACAGGAATCGGCGAACTCACGGCTATAGTTTCCTCCCGCGGTGCGTTGCTCGACGGTCGTAGACTATCTATGTATTTATCTAAACCACCGCTGGTATCTATTTTAAAGCGAAAAATGGAAAAATCATGTGCACCGTGCATGGGTGGTGTGGAAATGCCTCCCGAGTATATTTCTCCCGCCGCCTTTTCCGTCCAAAACTACGGTTCTGCCGCTGCATCGCGGGCGCAGCTGGTCCAGCTCGTCTTCAGGATAAAAGTGACGACGATGGTGACTTCAGAGCTCGCAGGTCTCGTCGACGGCAAGCGTGCTGACGAAGGTGAAGGCACCAGCGCTTTTGCTTTCTTTTAGCTTCGGTTTTGTGTTGTCGGCATGTCCCAGGAAACGAAGCAGAGGCTGTCACTCCAATGCATTTGGGACCTCTGGATTATTACGGGACCTTTTCTGCGAAAAGTGCAAGGAACCGGCGCGCGAGGGAACCTTCGTTGGCTTTGCAGCAGCGGAACCTGTAGAAGCCGAAATCAAACCATTAGACTAGTTAGCGCTGACTAGTCTAATGGTTTGATTCGGCTTCAATAAAAGTTAGTCGTGGGGTTCTAGATCCAGCCTGGACACTTTGAAGTGGTTTTATTCCTGAGACCTTGAATACTCCCGGCCAGAGTATGGGTGACGGAAGGACTGGTGGACCCTGGAACATTCTGCAGGATGTGGGTGGCGAGTGATATGAAGCGAAATAAAGATGGGACGGATAGCAACGCTTGCAAGGGGAGTCACTCTCCGCGGAAGTGAAAGTGACACGGCTCACGAACCCCACAACTAAGTTTTCTTGAAGCCGAAATCAAACCATTAGACTAGTCAGTGCTGACTAGTGTAAGGGTTTGATTTCGGCTTCTATAAACCTTTGTCGTAGGGAACACCCTAATTCCATGCACGAGGGAACCCTGCATTGGGGAACCTCACCCCCGCTAACGTTGGGGGACCGCTGCATCAGGGAACCTCAACCCGAAATTGCCAGGGGTACTCCCCCCTAATGGGGATACGATTTCATATACAACATTCGCTGCATTAGGGAACTTCGCACCAGAGTTGGTGGCAGCGGGACCGCTCGTTCGTGAGAGTATCATTTTGTATACAACAACCGTAGGTGGAAAACTATCCTTGCCCCTCACCCTGACAAATCTTGCGCAGGGGGCGGCACTTGACCAGTGGGAGTTTCGTTGTCACAAAATGTAACTATTGCACAGTAGTGTGCTGTCCATTTCCACAATAGCAACGGCACAGTGGACAATCTACCGTAGACCACTTGTTGCGCGTTGCGGAACAACGAGAGTGGTAAATCGATCAGAGGACGACGTGCGGTGATACGCCTCACTCTGAAGTTCTAGCGCAGACGGCAAAGACGTGTCCTGCGAGCCCAACATCAACATAATATGCCAAAACAATCCCACTACCTTGTTTTAAGCTGACCCGTTATTTGCGGGTACCTAACTTTCGTTTTGCTTCGTTTCTTTTCCTGGGTACACGCCGAAGGACCGCCAATCGCACGTTGCCATTCAATGCAGAAAGTTCAACCCCCTAACACACGATAGCCACAATCACAAAATTTAGTACTCCATCGGACCGCGGAACAACGCCTTGGCAATAGAGACTGCTCACGTTCTGGGCTCTTCGGACTACTAGGCAAACGAAGCCTCTAACGAGACCCAAGACCAGGTCCAATCACTGCTGGTGAACATCACGAGGCCAGAATACGTCGAGACAGCACTGCTATGTTGGATTCATACTGTTGATTCGAGCACCATACCCGACATGCCTATTCCCGGGTCCAAAATCCAACCTGTGACCTCGGCGCTTAAGATAGTTGTTTTCGACCACAACGGAAACGTCCGCCCAACGAAGAGTCGACAGTGCTGTCTCGACGTATTCTGGCCTCTCGATCTTCACCAGAAGTGATTGGACCTGGTCTTGGGTCTCGTTGGAGGCTTCGTCTGCCCAGTAGTCCGAAGAGCCCAGAACGGTCATATGCGAGCCGGTGAGGAACAAAAGGACTTCCAGCGACTTGCCTTCCGCCACGGGAGCGTTGGGTCTTGAGGCTTGAACCACTCTGTGGGCGCGGTGTATAGAGGCGGGAGCTCGGTGGTCAAGAAACAACAGTGGCTGCACGTGGGGAAGGTGTGAAAGCAATGCTCAGATCTGGTAGACCTCGTTACGACAATGCGCACCAACCCTTGCTTAGACAAATCGGATGCGCAGCAGCGTGAGTACCTTCAGCATTTTGTCCTTGGAACAGGTGAGTATGAGGACCCTGATCGCCAAAATCGTATTCGATTTCACCGCGCTGATGTCGTCGCGGAGATCAACGCTGTATGCATCGGTAGGAGTCTTGCCACGATAGACTGACCCGGAATCTCTGATATTCGCCATCACCACGTGCATGACGACACTTTGCTGTCCATGCACAAAGTTCTTTCCTGTCCAGCAAGTGAGCGGGAGTTCGGGACCTCAACGGTTAGTGCTGTGGAAAAGAACCCCTGATGTAAGGATATACTAGTTACAGCCCTGATGTAAGGATATACTAGTTACAGCTATCGGAACGAGCGGTCGCCGAGGATTGATGGCAGAAGTCAACACAAATTGAGCGGTTCAGCATCTGGTTTATCTGTCAACGATTCCAAATATTGCTATGACTCGGCACCTTGCAAGCACTTCACTGCTGCTGCTGCGTACAGGTACTCACCAGTTCCTCACCGAGGCCGTCGATCTGGGCTTCAAAGTCCTCGTACTCCGAGTCGTAGCCGTTGTTTCTCGCTTGAGAGGTTGGTGTGCCTGCTCCGCTTGGCACGGCAACGACCACAACGGTGGACTGCCCTGTCGGCTAGACGACATACCTCAGTGATAGCTTTGTCTATATTTGGGTCGACTTCGCGGATGACGACACATTGCATGGCTGGCAGATCGACGGATACTGCGCTGGCCACGAGGCGACTGAGTCCACAGT